ATGGATGGATGGATGATGGATGGATGGATGGATGGATGGATGATGGATGGATGGATGAATGGATGGATGGATGGACTGAATGAACAGATGATGTATGGGTAGATGTTTTTAAAGTCGTGTAATGTTTTACTTATAACTCAATAAGTACTCAGTACTGGTACTCAATATTGATGAATACCCTTATTGAAGTACTTGTGCTCATACTTAATTTGAGAAAAAAATGGTGTCAGGACACCCCATAATATAATATAATATAATATAATATAATATAATATAATATAATATAATATAATATAATATAATACTGAATTATATTAATTAATTTGCATATTTTTTATTTATTCTTACTAATATTTCCTTCATTGAAGACTGTCCCACTCAGAGCCTGCTAAGAAACATTTTGAACAAAGTTTGAAAGTTTTTAATTAGTACTACAAACCCCCACTTGATGCTGTAGGTAGTTTAAATACATCTTTAAAATAACAAAACCAAGAATGATTTRTTTTTCCACTCCAAAATCACACAGGTGATTTAAACCGGTGTTAAATTTGCAGATTTGATGACACAGCATTTTAAAAAAAATACTAATTCCATCACCTGAGATTAAACCAACCAATGAGGTCATCTCTGCCTCTGCTGCAGTTTTATGAAAGTGAGAAATCAGATCCTCACCGTCTACTCCAATTCTGCCATCACTGTTGTCATCAGCTGATGAGATGAATTTCTTAGTTTCTGCATCGCTCAGGGTTCGCGCACCGGGGACGAACCGCTGCAGGAAGAACCTGGAAACACACACACGCACGCACGCACGCACAGACMCACACAAACACCAATCCCTAAAGTCAACCCTGAGCTCTCATCACACAATGTGAATTACATAACAGAAATACAACAATACCACTTCACTCCTTACGGATTACAAGATTACCTAATCCGGGAATACAATACTAGTGTGTGATTTTTACAGTAACAGGATTAATTTTGTCAGTAAGTTGTTGACATGTCGGAATGAAGCCCTGAGAAGTGCTGGTTATGAGAGTGGTAAAAACTTAAAGTAACGACTCAGCGTTTTAAAATCGCCGCCTTGCAGRAAACTCCACATCCCAGCTATCGTTTTACACACTTGAGCTCAGATTCCTCGATGTAGCCGCTGTTGTCCTCGTCGAGGATCTGGAAGACATCTTTAACCTCCTGAGGCGTCTTTGAGGACAGGCCACACATCTGGAAGAACTTCTTGTGGCAGAACGAATCTGGAGCTTGTAACACACACACAAACACAGACACACACAGACACACACATACATACATACAAATGTAAACGTGGAAAAGCAGGAGCCTGAATAGACACTGAGACTGACCCTGAAGGTCACCAGGTTGGTGGCTGATGTGCAGATTAAGGCAGCATTTATCTTTTTAAAGCCAGCAGTGCGTGCCTTCACTAAAACAAATGCATTGATTAAAAACCTTTTTCCAACTCCAAATTTTTTAACCGAACGTGGCTTTTTATGAACGATGGTTTAAAAAACTAATACAGCTGTGGAGAGGATTATACGCCGGAGTGATTGACGGTGTTTTGAAGACAGACCGAGGCAACAAAACGTGAGTCGTTCAGGATTAACGTGGATGTGAATTTTCAGAATTGAAGCTCGCATTTAGTGAGTGGAAACCTTTTTGTTTTCTGCAAATACTTTCAACGGTGGGTTTACCTTCACAGTCCTTGACAGCTTTTTCAATGGCCTCAGCTGACAGAATGGAGGTGAGCGACATGTCAGACCTGTAAGGCACAAGAAAAGCCTCTTTAAATTATTCACACACACAAACTTTCTCTTTCTGACACACACGATCTCTTCGCTACGTCAGACTTTCGCTGTTTGCTCTCCATCTCATTTTCCCTTGTCCTCATGGCTGCAGATGCATGATCCAATAAAAACCCAATCTCCTGCTACACTTTAAATACTGACAGCTACAAAACTGCATTTACACTCTTTTAACATTTCATTTTGTTTATTCTGCTTTCTTTTAATCACTGAGCGTATTTCTCTCCCCTCAGCTATTAGATGAACTTTGCAGAATAAAYGGCTCCTATGGGCTGTGGAGAAATTATTTGGGGACTAATAAGAGGGGCCGTAATGTAWGAGTTTATAATGAGGAAAATAAAATTCGAGTCATTTGATGAAGTTAAAAAGTATAAAAATGAAACCACCCAGGTCCAACAACGTGGGGTTTTGTTTTTAAATGAGCAAATCTTCTTACAACAGCTCCTCTGAAATGTTTTACCAGTTAAATAAAGTTTAAATCAGAAATACATTTTAAAAT